TCTCCCTAAAATATATAACGGGTGGTAGGAAATTTTTCGGACAAAATGTTTGCTCATTTTTGGCTCACTTCAAGATATTTCAGACGAGTCACAACCTATGGATTAGAATCAGAATTTTGTGCTCTTTCAGAATATGGGCTTAGAAATGTTGTGTCAGTTTTTGTTCGAGAGTAGGGAGAGAATCTTTGAAAGGCGTGAAAAATTAGTTTGGACAGGAAATTTTTTCGCCATTTTTTATATTTTAACTATTGTGATTCGAAACTAAGAGTTGGAACCTTGATTACTCTATCAGCTAGAAGAGCAAGACCTGTTCTACAAAATGTACTATTGGAGTTTTTTCTGGTTGCTAGGGAAGACATCGAAATTTTCGTTTTTCCTATACCCTCATTTTTGAGAAATCGACTTTTTGATCAAAAGGCGTTTTCCACAAAAAGGAGCTGCTGACAAAAAACATACAACTTCACTTGTGCAAAAAGCTACAACTTAAGTCAATATAGCATTTTGTAAATAAGTGTCCGCTCTACAAAACTATAGTGTCCGATAACTTTTAGCATCTTCGAAAAGGGATATATATGGGTTAGGAAAAAGCTGTTTGTGCGTCATCCAAATTAATTTTTAAGGCCTTTCAAAGATTTCTTCACTGCTCTGGAACAAAAATAGATACAAAATTTCTAAGCCCATATTCAGAAACAGGACCAAATTCTGGTTCTAATCCATAGGTTTTGACTCGTCTGAAATATTTTGAAGTGAGCCAAAAATGAGTAAACATTTTGTCCGAAAAATTTCCGACCACCCGTTAGTTCGATTCCATTTTTTATTTTACTAGTAAAAATAAATACTACTATGGCTGTGAATAATTAAAGACTTCATACATTATTGATGTAGAATTTAGACTACACGAATAAATACTATTGAATGGAGTTGACAGTAGACATGCTTAATAACCGCTTGAAACATTACTTCAAATCACAGTTCACGTAAAGAAAATCACTCATATGAAAAAGTCTGATACATTTTCACGTGTAACTTGTCTCTTAGATTTGAGTTTTGTTTGAAATCTCACCACTTATAGCAATATTTAATGGAGAATACTCGGGTGCTGATTATTTTTTTACTTGAAATATAGTTGTTTTCAGCTTTCAATTGATGGTATAATAGATATTATCAAAAAGTATACGCAAACAGCGAGACAAATGTCATAAACTAAAACAGAAATGCAGGTTTTAATAATTTGTCAATTTCTGAAATTACAACTCGTCATCTCTTGCTTTCACGTTTGATAATTTCGTTATTCAAAACTCGATCTGCTTAAATCTTTTTATTTTTATTTTTTTATCAATCTAATTTATACAGAACTCCTATGTACTTGTCTGAATCAATTTACACAACATGTCTATTGACTCTGTGTTAATCCTAATCTGATGACTATTACATTCTATGCATACATGATCATTTTTCTTCACATGCACTGTCAATTAAAACGATCCTTTGAACTATCATGAAGTACATCTATGATCGAATACATTTATTAACAGCAATTGACATTTTTAGTCTTTCCAAGACAGAGAAAAATTTATCTCTACTGTCAAGACCAAAAATTCTTTCAAATTGTATGCTTTGACGAGAAAATCATCTATTAATAGATTGGTTTTTTTTGTTGTCAAATTTCTCTGAAATAATTGCAATAAGACAGGTATATTATTGTCCATTTCCGTTAAATGGGCGTGGACATTTTTTGAATAACTTTGAAACAGAAAGAGAGAGGTAACCTGAATTTTTCGTTCTATCTAGAATCGGTATTGCTCTATCTTTTTAAAAAGTCGATAAAAAATTTCAGTCACTTTTCTTAGGGGATACGTAAGGAGTTTTGAAGATAAGCTTAATTCACTTTGGAACCTACATACTTTTTCAACTTTAATATAATGGATAGATAGTCCAGGTCTCTCTCTATCGATCTACGCGAGGCAAAGATCAAAAATGATTTGTATTCAAAGGATATAAAGATTTTTCTGAAGGCCACTTACGAAATATTTTTCAAAATCTTAGCAGTTAACACACGTTGCATACTATAAGTTTTTAGTGGTCTTTGTTTTCGCTACACGATTTATTAACCTTTAGAGTTTTTTTCCTATAGAAAGCGTGATTGAAGAGCATTTAATGTTTGTTGTGTAGGGTGAAGAAGTAGTGTGAGTAAGAGTATGAGCATAGATGTCTGTTTTTCCTTTAGCCACCGTCTCACTCACATCTCTTCGGAGAGTCATTGTGCCTTGAATCGTATAGAGTTAGTCTGGAACCATTTGAAAACATATATACATGATAGAAGCATCAAGTTTACTTTAACTGAAGTGAGCCGACTGGAACAAGAGGAGCTTATGGCTTAAATGCGACGGAAGCAACTAGTTCCATTAGTTTACATCCAACAATATGAGACAATATTTAAGAGGGGCGATATTTATGTTGAAGAAATGGAAGAAGAGCTAAATGATCATGACGATGATGATTATAGTAGTTACAGTACAGATGATACCGATGATTAATGACTTCTATGGTGGACCTACGTGAACATCTTAAAATTCTTTTTGGCTCGCCGGTTTGAATTCAGGGAATTATTCCAATGAGAACAGCAATAAGATAAAGGTTGAAGAAAACTTTCTGAATATGTTAATTCATTATCACCAGAATAAGTTTAAAGTATGACTTTTGATAACATTCTTTGGTAGAAAAAATATGCCAAAGGTTAATAAATCGTGTAGCGAAGACAAAGACCACTAAAAACTTATAGTATGCAATGTGTATTAACTGCTAAGATTTTGAAAAATATTTCGTAAGTGGCCTTCAGAAAAGTCTTTATATCTTTTGAATACAAATCATTTTCGATCTTTGCCTCGCGTAGATCGATAGAGAGAGACCTGGGTTATCTATCCATTATATTAAAGTTGAGAAAGTATATAGGCTCCAAAGTGAACTAAGCTTATCTTCAAAACTCCTTACGTATCTACTAAGAAAAGTGACTGAAATTTTTTATCGACTTTTTAAAAAGATAGAGCAATGTCGATTCTCGATAGAACGAAAAATTCAGGTTACCTCTCTCTTTCTGTTTCAAAGTTATTCAAAAAATGCCCACGTCCATTTAACTCTGAAATGGTCAATAATCGGTTCTCATTCTCATTGAGATAAGTTATTTGCAATATAATCGATTTGTTTTTGAGTGATTGATTCTAAAATTCTGAGCACTCTTATACTTCCATGAAAGGATGTTAAGATTTTAGGTATTAAATATGGCAATCAATGTGATTTATTATTTCGCGTAGAATGTTATTGAATTGCTATTTGATTAATAAAGTTTGTTTTGATTTTTTTGGGTTTTCTCATGACAAACAGATAAAGCTCATATGCATATCTGTTTCTTCCAACTGAGTTCCTAGTAAGAAGAAGGTAATCTCATCTATTCAATCTACATATATGTATATGAATCTGCTCACCCTATCAAAATAAAAAAAACATGTTATACAATGTGGATGTTTACTGCCTAAAACCGACATTAATTGAAAGATACAAGTTATGAAATAGCAGACTTTGAATCATTTTCCCGATAGCGAAATCTTAAGTAGAATTTTTTTAAAACTTGTTTTCTTTAACACAGTCTCACTGAAATATTATCAATCACTGACCTTTTAACATTCAACAAAAAAGGGTGTGAGGTGTGCATGTGCAGGAGAAATACTCAACAGGGCTTGAAACGAGCCGCCCGGCTCGGAGTAGGTTTTTCTTTTATGAAAATATATAGATGTTAGTGAATCTGGAATTTATTAAAAAATTATTATCGTAGACGCTTATCTCGAATTTTAATTGGATAATAAAATGGACCAATAATCTATTGGTAGACATAATTTGCTATTTGTTTAGTTTTTTCAATACTTTATCATCTCCTCACCAGAGAAATTGTTTATTATACTCGACTTTTTTCACGATAATTTTTTATTTATCTATTGTCATTCTTCGATATTTATCTATTAGATAAATATCGAAGAATGACAATAGACGAAAAATTTAAAACACCTAATCCTCTCCCCTTTTGGCAACATCATGAAGTTCATTTACCACATTTAGCCAAACTGGTCAAAAGGTTGTATTTAATATCTGCTACGTCCTGTGATGTAGAGCGCTAGTTCAGCGCTGCAGAAGTTTTAGTAAATGAAAGAAGATTATCATTAAATCCTGAAACAGTTGAGGATGATCTTTTTGTGTGTTCGGTGCAGAAACCATAAATGAAAAATTCAAATCTTTTTTTCAATGTGGTGTTCATTTTTTTCCTGTGTTGAACATCTATTTTTGTTCGTTCTACTTCTTGGTACTTTCTTCTTCATTGTGTTTATAAATATTATTCGTTCATTATACTTGTCAATATTTATCTTCTTATTATTGGAATCAACTGATCCTAATAAATTTATCAGTAAATTAATGGTGTATTCATTAGAAATTTTTTCGAACTATAAGACTAGCTTTAAAGATCAGTTTTTACAAAAAAAACGTCTATTTAAATAACATTTTGTTTAGCGTCGGGTCGAGCGAGCCTGAATTAATTTTGGACCGCTTTGGGCCGGCTCGGACCATGAAAAAGTGGCCCATTTCGAGCCCTGATACTCAATAACACACCCATGCCTCACCTCACACTCCACACCCACACCCACACCTACCCACACCCACATCCCACACCCATACTCCACACCCACACCCACACTCACCCACACCCACAGCCACACCCAAATCTACTAATTTTTCTTCTGGTTCCCAAAATTTCAATTTGATAAGCCTGATCACAACAAGACACAGTTTGTTGAAATAATGTTACCGCCATTGACTCACAATAAAACTTGAGTACAATTGTAAATTTCAATAAATATGTTGAAAAAATTAGATCTAATAAAAATTTTATCCACAATTTCATAGTTTTGACAATATCTCATGAATTTCTTAGCAAAATGAAGAACTTATTTTCAATGAAATCAACGTTCATTTCTACTTTATACTTTTATTTCACTTCAGTACCACTACGCGCAAGTTCCATTGGCATTCGTCCAAATGCAACATGGTCAAAGAATGGTATCACTGTTGCTGGAGGAAATAGAGAAGGCAGTGAAACCAATCAACTCTGGTACCCATGGGGTTGCTATGTCAATGACGATCTAACGATTTATGTCGCTGATACCAATAATCATCGTATTGTGGAATGGAAATCTGGTGAAATGAATGGAAAAGTGGTTGCTGGCGGTAATGGGCAAGGAAATGGAGTTCATCAATTAAAAGGGCCAAAAGATGTGGTTATCAACAAGGAGAGCGATAGTCTCATCATCAGCGATTACGAGAATAACAGAGTAGTTCGTTGGCCTCGTCGAAATGGTACTCGTGGAGAAATAATTATTTCGAATATCTCTTCCATTGGTTTAACAATGGACGAGAATGGTTGTGTGTATGTCGTTGACGAAGGAAGACAAGAAGTGAAAAGATATAAAACTTCTGACACTAAAGGAACAGTGGTTGCAGGTGGCAATGGATATGGAAATCGTCTCGATCAATTCTCTTATCCCACATACGTATTTGTTGATAGAGATCATTCAATATATGTGTCCGATTGGGAAAATCAGCGTGTAATGAAATGGGAAGAAGGTACAAAACAAGGCATTCCCGTAGCCGGTGGTCAGGGACAAGGTAATAATCTTATACAATTGCATGGCCCTCAAGGAGTCAGTGTCGATCAATTGGGTACTATCTATGTAGCTGATTCTTGGAATCATCGAATCATGCGTTGGCCAAAAGGAGCCACACAGGGAAGTGTCATTGCTGGTGGAAACGGTGCAGGATCACTGTCAAATCAACTCTATTATCCCACAGGTATATCGTTCGGCCAACATGGCGATCTCTATGTCGTCGATTCCTATAATTCTCGAGTGCAAAAATTTAATATCGAATAAACTCAATACAACGAATTTTATTTCGTTCTCTTTTCTCTTTAAAATAAATCGTAATTGAACGAAAATAAATTAAAGGCTATTCTGTTGCCACGCGCACATGCAGGAATCATCCTGGTGAAGCTGTGGCGAGCTTAGTGCTTATGCACGCGCCGGAAGATCCACATCATCCACCCAAGCAGTCATTCGATAGGTATTTCGATATATCGATCTGAGGCTTCCGATGGGTTGGTGGAATTGAAAATTGTTCACCCCTCGGAGCCCTCTCGACCTATCGAAAAGTGGCAATCCGAAAGGTCGATCTAGAAATTCGATGGCCTCGGCGCACCTATCTTCGATGAATTTCGATGGGTTACGATGGGTCAAATTTGCGAGGCTTCGAGGGATTGCTATTCCGAGCACTCAAAATTTTTACAAATTTTCAAAAAATTTTTGCTTCAAGTATCCCATTTTTTCCGAGCCATTGATAACTGTTGGACGTTTTTTGAGCTTTCGATACCTATCGAATATTTTTGCAGAACAGAAGATTCGAACATATGTACTTACGATTGTGAAGCTTGTACAGATCTAATGAACTAAACATGACGTTTTAATCTAAGATAAATCTACATGTCGTCATCAATTACATATAACTTCGGTATTTCTTAATTTTCTTTCAAATAATAATTTTTTGTTTAATGTTTTAAAATAATATTCATTTTTTTTAAATTTATTTTTATAAAGTTCATTTATTTTTTTAATTTATTTTCATAATACGCATTTATTTCTTTTTTTCTTTTATTAAAATATTCATTTTTTTCCAAAAACTTTTTTACAAATATAGCAATTATCAATGATTAAGAAAAACAATTCTATCTATTATAGGTTACGTTGCATTAAGTAGGAGCCTCAGATCTATGCTTAAAAATAAACTACAATAAATTATAATTAATTTGAATATATAAAAAAAATAATAATAATAGAAATTTTGGAACAACGTAGAATAACGATAAATCTCACTTCTCTGCTAGCTTTAAGTTTAAAATCTTCAAATTATTTCAATAATTTTGAGGACTGTGAAGCAAACTGAGTGTTCAAAATAATCCCAATCGACTAGTTCTTTGCTAACAAGTCATCGAAAATTAGAGTGATATCAAGAGCTCAGAATGTCTGGAATGTTCAAAAACTAAAATTCATTATGAGTATGTTTTCTTCAAGAATGTGAAAATATTCTCTCATGATCTCAGTTATAGTTGATGAATAATCTTGTTAAAAGCATAGAACTATGTAAAGCCATGTATCAAACAGAAATTCTCTGATGATATTAGAATAAAAATGAAAGACTACTCAGAAATTGAATTTCAAAGCAGTTTTCAGCGACAAAAATTAAAATGAACGGTCGAAACTATTTTATTGATAAGTTTGCTCTCACCGAGCACTCCATATTCCGATAAGCTTCGAGTGATCAACATCATATCGAGCAATCGAAAGTATCTTGTCGATGGGTCTCCTCTCTTCAAGTAGTCAGAATTTCGATAGACTTCGAGCGGTCAAAAAAGTGTCCGAGGAATCGAAAATGACTGCACGATGGAGCAATGTTTTCGACCACTGGGTATGTTGTTGAGCTTCGATTGCTCGAAATCATATCGAGTAATCGAAAGCCTCTTTTCGATAGGCCTCCTCTCTTAGAGTAGTCAGAATTTCGATGGGTTTCAGGCGGTCGAAATGTGTCCGAGGAGTCAAAAATGAGTATGCGATGAGACAATGTTTCCGAGAGCTCGTATTTCGATGGTGTTTCAGGGGCTCGAAATTCGAACAGAACGGGAAAAAAAATATTTCCAAGATTCGATCATTCGTCGCACCCATCGTTGGGTTTTTTAGGTCTAGTTGGGTAGAATTCTCAGTTCTAACACATATTCCTCTGATGAAAATCCAAGTAATGTCGTCACAGCTCGAAATAAAACACTGCCGCCAATCTTGTGTTCAGAAGAACTAAATTTTAGAGGAAAATAACATTCGTTTGAAACTATAATGACGAAAATGTAATTTGACTTTTTCAATGCTGTGAAACCGTTTTGTTTGTATATTGATTGAAGATCATTATAAATTTTCATGAAGAAATTATATCGGTTAGAATCTCTACTAAGAAGATTTCATTGGTGAGTAGTATTATCGGATTTTATTGAAAAATATGGTTAAATCTTTTTTGTATCTTTTATTAGGGTGGGATGTGGGTGTGGGTGTGGGTGGGGTGGGTGTGGGTGTGGGTGTGGGTGCAGGTGTGGGCGTGGGTGGATGTAGGTGTGGGTGGAAAGAGACAACACCCACACCCACCCACACCCATACCCACACCCACACCCACCCACACCCA